TGCTCCTCCCGTCCCTCGTCGTCGCCGCCCTGCCAGCAGGACATGTCCCCCGTCTCGCCAGAAGCGGTCGAGAGTGCCTAGACTGGGGGGAAAAGCCCCCCCTCCTCCCTCCACCCCCAGCCCCAGGCCGCCGGACAGGAGGACACGGGGCGACAGGCCTCCTGGCAGCAGCAAAGCCTCGCCCCGCCCGGTCCTATTGATCCTTCTTCATGAATATGCACACAACGGCCGGCAATTTGGAGGCTGCTGCGTGACGCAGCGTGGCAGGGCGTAGCGAGGAGGCCGGAAGACCTGACGGAAACAACTTCGAATTTTGGTGTATAGCAGAATGAGGAAAAACTTTGTCTTAATGTATAAAAATTTCAGTTTTTTGTAATTATTTTTTCGAAACTGGTAGAAGGTATTTTAGAAGCAGGTTACACGCACATTTTCTAGGGTGTGTTGTAAAATTACAATTTGAAATTGTGAAATTACAAGCACTAGTGGCACTACGCATTGACTTGGAATTGATCAAGGAGTCAAAAATATATTCTGTAAATAGAAAAAAGGTGTTGTAAATTTAAATAAATAAAAAGATACTTTTTACAGTGGGAGCGCACATCAAAGTGCGCTGTTAATAAGCTGTTAATTGCTGTCCTAAGCAAAATGTTCCAATTCAAGTAAGTGCAAAATGGTCTACATCTCCAAAACCCCACTGGCTGCCGAAAAGCCGGGGCGAAACGACCAAAATAACTGAATCAACTAACGATGATGAGTCAAAAACCACGCGTCCCCTCTGTCGTGGAAAGAGAAATAAGTTCGTGGAGTGTATATACGTGCTCGCCCGTGTGTGTGTGCGTAAGCCCGAGTGTCTGATCCCTCTCGGCAGACGTATCCCCCAGGGATGAAGCGTACGCCAGCCCTCCGCTCCCCATCCGCCCTCTCAAAGCCGGCCTAATTTAGCTCACCGCCGCGCCGCCGGCCGCTGATATTGAAATCGCACCGCACCGGCCGCGCACGGCTCGGCCCACGCGGCTCTGGTCAGCGAACATAATCATCTAGCAACACCTAGCTTTGGCTGGCACGATAGAAAAAGTTTTCCTGAAATTCAAGACACGGTCTTGGAACCTTTGAACAACGCCATTGACTTCGAAGAAATTTAAGAAACTTTTTTCACCGTGTGGTTTGGTTGCAGTGATCATAACTCAACGCGGTTTAATAACCCTGGCGCTACAATTTGTCGCAGCGAGAGGCAGTAGCGGCGGCGTCAGGCGGCTGGCGGCGGCGCGACCATCGCGATGGTGCGCTCCGATGCCCAGCACCACCACCCCCGCCTCTGGCCGCCTCGACTCGCCCTCGGCCCACCACTCGACGCCGATGCACGTTTTATCAGCAACACGTAAACATTTTTTAGCCTCTTTTCCCTTTGAAGCAAGCGAACGCGTTGCCTGTGCCGCCGCCGCCTCCGCCTCTGCGCCACCGTTCCGAACCGAAATTGCTTTCCACCACAACCGCAACCGCAGGGCGCCGAAACACACAGCGGCGACGCAGTAGCAGCAGTAGCATCGGAAGCCCCCCCACACGCACGGGCTCACACGCACACACGCGTGCACGCACAGGCTCACATGCACGCAGACAAACAAACACGTCCGCACACATATTGTGGAGGCGCGCGCACGCGCACGCTGAATGAGGCACAGGTGGCGGTGCTGCTGCCGTGATGGCTTGTGCGGCTGAGCCGGAGCCATGGCGCGGCGCGGTCGGAGCGGGGCGGGGCGGGGCGGGGTGCGGCGTGACCGATTGCCCCACCACGTTACAAAGGGGCCAGGGGCCAGGGGCTGTC